CAACAAAAACAACACCACAACACAACATGAATGTGAGTGACAGCAGGTGGGAAGGATGAGGAAGGGAGGCAGTAAGAAGTAGATGCACTGTTTGGCCGCTCGCGCTTTTTTTAAATGACAAACACTCAAGTCGATGGCCCACCGGATAGAACTAACCTCTCCGTGCGGGTGCATTACTTTGACAGGCTGTTACTCTTCAAGCATTAATTCCTTTGGGCCTCTTGATGTCTTTATGAGAGTTCCATGCTACTGTAACGGCGTTGTGTTCATTTGCTATCACATCATTAATCACACCATCACACCACCCTGAAGCACATTGCAAAAGATCCGCTTTTTGGGCACACTTTTATCATGGATAGGCAACTGTGAGGACATTTACCTTGCAGGCAAGAGGAACATACATCCAACAGAAATATGTGTTATAGAGCTGCTCTACAAACTAGTCGAATTTATTCTAAATGCATTACAAAGCGATATTTATTCATGTATCCTCAGATGTACACTGTTTTATCTTCACTCTAATCCATAAATCTTTGTTTTTGTTTTTTTTTTTTTCCAATGTAGTTTTAAGGAGTTGACCCAGTCTGTGACACGTATATATTGCCATGAATTCTATTTGTTCCTGTTGTGCTACATTTTGGAAACATCTGCGATGAAATGCGCCTCAAGAGTGCAAGAAGGTATTGAACAACTGTGACAGAGGCACCGTTGAGACATTTCTTTTGAGAAAGTGCTGGAGCTGTTAAATGTGGCGGCGAAAAGGGGAAACTGTACAAATGTTCCTTTGAAAGTTTAAATACACAAAAGATTGCTACGTCAATGACTGATGAGCGACTAGCATAACAACTAGAGCTTTGTGTATGTGTGGATGGCCTGTAATTATGTTTTCAAGCTAGGTCTGCTTTGTGAATACATTATAATTGACATAAAACGTGATCATGTGAGGGATGTCACTGTGCGAAAATAAATGCATGGCATGAACTCTCCCGGAGAGTCTTGTGTTTCTGTCTTCTCTCCCTTTTTCAGACTAAAATAATGAACACAAGGGAATGGAACGCATAGTCGAATATGAAAACTGTGTCAGAATTTCAACAAGTCAAATACCCCACGTTGACTAATTACAGTTTTTTTTTAATTTTTGAGCCACAGTGAGTTAAAGGATTAATCTGATGCAGAGACACCTCTGTAATTGGGAGGGTATGAAGGCTCTGAATGAGCTGTAATAAAATAAGCAGGGGGATTTTTTTTTATTTTTTTTTTATTGCATTCATTATCTTTGGACCTGTGGGACAATTGGCTGACTGCATGTGCTGCAAAAAGTGTTCCAGTTGGAAAAGGATGGAGGATGGATCACAGAGCAGACTCCACAAACGATGAGCAATCAGTATATTATTGAACCAAATGCGTATGTCAACATCAAGTAGAAAAACACAAGAACGTGATGAACAAAAAAACAAACTCTAACCCACATCAAGTTCCGAAAAGTGAAAATAATAAAACCAAACAAACAGCAAATACCAAGTGGCAACTAGCAAAGCAAATGAGCGACAATGGCGACAAGTATTATTCTGGGCATTTTCCTTTCGCTAAAGCTGCACCTTAATACTCGCAAGAGTAAATTGCCAGCAGGTGCAAGAAGAAGGCTCCATCAAACCAACTGTTTCAGAAACGAATTGTGGAGACAAGGGAAACGAGTCCGAAAGAGAATACACGACAAACATTATTGAACTCGATGGGCCGCACATGTGCCAAGAAATATATATATATATATATATATATATATATATATCTATATATATAAAGCTGACAGCTTTTATAGTGTGTCATGTCTGAGATGACCAACACAGCACACCGTGCATATAATGATATACTGTACCTCCATGACAATCACAAGCCTCTTTGCCCCAAACCAGATGTCTGTTGGATAGAAACTCAGTCATCCGGGTATGATGTGCAGGCTCTGTAGGTTTGTGTGTGGCTGAAATCTGAACTAAGGTGTGATTGCAAAAAATATGGGAGATACTGTAATTGAGGGGGGCAGCTGCTGCTTTCACACCCTTTTGTGCCTTACAGCACCAAAGGGGGGAGAGAGAAAGAGAGTGTGTGTGCATGTGTGTGTGTATGCCAGACCCTGCTGGGATAAATTGTTTGGTTATATAGCTCACAGGTTTTCCACGAGCCAATTATTTGTCAGTTTTTTTTTTTTGCCCTTTTTATCAATAGTGTTGTTTTTATTATTAATTTAGCTTATTTTTTTTCGGTAAACTGATCGTGCAAGGTCATCATTGTACGGATCTTCAACGTCAAAAAAGGTGGGCTGCGATAAATTTTCAGGCGGTGGGTCAGCAAGTAATGGCACGGTGGAGGACTGGTTAGCACATTGGCCTCACAATGAAGAGGTACAGGGTTCGATTCTGGCTCCGGCTTTCCTGTGTGGAGTTTGCATGTTCTCCTCGGGCCTTCGTGGGTTTTCTCCGGGTACTCCGGTTTCCTCCCACATTCCAAAAACACGCATGGCAGGTTAATGGAACACTCCAAATTGTCCATAGGTGTGATTGTGAGCACAAATCGTTATTCGTCTCTGTGTGCCCTGTGATTGGCTGGCAACCAGTTCAGGGTGTCTCCCGTCTACTGTCCAAAGACAGCTGGGATAGGCTCCAAGCACGCCCGCGACCCTTGTGAGAATACGCGGATTAGAAAGTGGATGGATGGGTCCGTAGGTGGAGGTAATCACATCCCATGTGGAACAACCCATAAACATCTGCCCAAAGATGTCATATAGGATCGGTGACACTTGAAATGCGCCTGTGAATACACATTAAAAACAAAACGATGTAAAATGGACATTTATACCGGCAGTTTGAATACAGCATCTGTGCGAGGCAAATGGTTAAGAGTGGCATTTTATTTTGACCAATGCCAGAAGCAATCACAGCTGTGCAATAATCCTTCCCTCTGATCAGCATCACCTGCCAGATGGATTTGCTAATGAGAGAGCAGAATTGACATGCCGAAATGACATCATGCTCATGCACTACACAGACTTCAAAAGGAGAACCGGCCGTGTTGAATTCTTTCCATCAATTACAACAAACAAATAAATAATACAAAAACAAAAATTAAGTAAAACTGGATAATTTCACGTGGCACCCTTGATAATCAGAATCACTGGATTGTATTTACATACAACATGCAAATCTTGATTACTGAGCTAGCATGGTCCCTGGATTTTTACTTAACCCATAAGCCATTAAAAGTTTGTTCAAATATTTAAAAAGAAAAAAAAATCCCCCAAAGTAAATTAGCGTTTTATCGAAAAGCACCTGCCTCACCGTGATACAAAGGGACAGACTATCATCGAGACATAACAGAAAAATGGAAATCATAAAGAAGCAAGAAAAACATTTCGAGATCATGAGTGGGAGGCAAAATCATTTTGTTGAGGATGTTACGCAATTACTTCATAACACATTCAGTGATGCTCTTCTTGACCGGCCTTTTGCTGTATTAAATTTAGTCATCTGCTATGGGTCACATCTGGAAAACATCCATATGGTTCATGTTGTCATTATCTGTCACATGTACAAATTTCAAAAGGCTTTTATTCTGAAATAATGCATTCGATTATCATTGATGTTTTCAAAGCATTTTTTTGTCTGTAAATAATTAATGTTTTATATTTCCTGATAAATGCATGTTCAGAATTTGACCACACTCCAAATACTGCATTTGGTTCAAAACATTTCAAAGTGCCAACATAATTTTGAGGAGAGTGCTGTTAAATAGGAACGTAAGGGGATACGGCACCTTATGTGTGAACTGTTGCAACCAGTTACATTATCTTATTGACACCAACTGGATATTTTTAGAGCCACCTCCACAAGAAAAAAAATGTCACATTCAGTGCAACCATTAGCCTGCTGTGTCCCTGCAGGCAATTATGGCAGCCTTCTAACAAGCTGACACTTATTCTTTGGATGACAAAAAGATACATCGCTCTCATCCTCTAAATTTAGAATCCCGGCTGGAATATACACTATATTTCAGTCGGACTGTTTCACATTTGATTGCATCCAAGTGGAAACATTTATGACCTCCCTGTAAATGCCATCTCCTTTAGACATTCTAAGTAACAGTGTCTAGTTAAATGTACTTTCATCTGTGGCCCAGTGGAGCCTAACCTTCTCCCCACCCACTTTCATTGCCCTGCTGGACTCTTCTTTTAATTTAGCGCCTCATTATGAGCCAAAGCCCCGAGTTTACACTTGGGTCTGGTGGTTGCTGGAGTCCATGGGGGTCATCATTAGATCCATGACATGTTAGTGGTGAGAGGAAAAACTGGTATACAATATGGAGCAAAAAAGATGCCCCTGCCCCTCCACAGAGTTATGACAGACTTTTTCTGACAAATTGGAGGGTGAGATCTGCACACTAACTAGACAGAACTTTGCGAGCATGTGTATTGGCTCACACCTTTAACTGTTTGAATTTAATGCGCAAAGACTGTTTTTCTGCGTTAACGGGTGTCATCAAGTATATGAGTAATTTAGTCAACATACTCATTTGAATATGCAAGTGATCTGCCCCCAAATTAGAACTGTGCATTTAAAGGTGTATTTTATAAATTATAGTATAATGTAATATTTACTATTGTAACGTCTTCAAAATAACTTTGTACACCACCAAAGTGTGCTTATGCTGTCATACTGTCAACGGTAGCCTAAATTTGAAATACTGTACTGTATCTGAAGAAATTCATGCCCCTTGAATTATGCTGTCATCTAGTGTCAAATGTATATATTGCATGCGTTTGTCTCCGGTACTGTATTTATGTTTTCCATCCATCCATGACCCGAACCGTTTAACCTCATGAGGGTCGCGCGCATGCCGGAGCCCATCCGAGCTGACTTTTTGGACTACGAAATAGCTCCAGACGCAAACGTTGAAATATTGAATATATTTGCCCTTTTGGTGAACATCGCAACGTTGTTGCGTGTTTGCGGTACTGCGCATGCGCAAAATGCAGGAGGCACAGGTCGAATGTTTATGTTTATGCTGGCTGGATGAAATGGGACTGGAGAGCTAATATACGTACTATCAAAGTCACCGATCACCGCTGTAACTCTGCAGGTATATGGCCATATGCACAGGCACGTCCACGTTTTATTCGGTGGATACAGACGCTGTTATAATTCGGTAATATCACAGAACTACAATGACACCGTACACGGTAGCGTTAATCTTAGCCGCTAGCTAGCAGCCGTCTATTAAGCAAATATAACGGTACCGCTTTTTGTCTTCGTAACTTTACAAATACGCGCTGGTTCTGGTTCACCCTGTGTAAACGTTCCACTGCAATGACCCTGCAGCAAACCACAATTTGTTATGTCCCACGTCACACCGTTCGTTTATTACTACCCAATATGCAAATTAGTCCGATAGTTTATTTACATTGGACTATAGGTCATCACTAACTGACAAATGCCGCACAGTGTTTTTCAAGTTTGATGCGATTGTTTGTTAATGTCAAAGTCAGTCGTGGTGGTTGAACATGTTAAGTTAGTGAAGGATTATTTTGTGTAACAGTGTTGGTGAGGCGTCAACAAAACCACCAAAAGTGCAAAAGTAAACAAGACTCGCTTTGATAAATGAGGACACTGAAAGTTAATTGCTCGGTTAGCTAATGATAACGAATTTTGAAAAATTGCACTTGAATGTACTGTATGTGTTCTTTCATACTAGACCACAGGTGTCAAAGTCAAGGCCCGGGGGCCAGATCTGGCCCGCCGCATCATATTATGTGGCCCGCGAAAGCGATTCAAGCATGTCAACTTCCATGATGCTTGCACCACCAATCAATTTTGTAGCTGACCACGTCAAAATGATTTTAACCAAGGCCATGGATGCTGAATAAGTTGCTTCTCCCAATCTGTTGCCATCATCGTTAACGCTGCCAGGTTCATGTTTGTCTCTGCTTTTGTTTTGCTTCTGTTTTACAAGTTTTCAACATCAATTGAGATTTCAACCAGGATTTACTTTGTCTCTCTCTATGCACTTCTTTTACGGCGTGTACATCAATGAAAGTCTTAAAAAGCAAGAAGTCTATTTTGACAAACTAAGACGTGAAAAAAAAGAGTCATCAGAAAAATAGTAAAGTACAGATACTTGAATGTCTACTTGACTACTGTACAGTGTACTCACTGATTGACGTTGTTCACATCTAATCAGACATAATTCACAAACTATATAAAAAAATAGACCTCCATAGATAATTCTGGTCAATTTTTATTGACACTGTCATTGAGGTATTAGTTTAATACTACTATAATTTTTGTTTAATAGTCAAAAAAAACGTTTACATCCTTGAAAAAAAATACCTCTACTCCCACATCACAGCTATAAATCATTAATGAACTAATTTATGAGGTGGCACATTGCTTCCTTGAGCAGCAACGTTTGCTTGAATCTTACAGTCAGTCACCTTGAAGCAGACCGCCCCGAAACAACACAATGGGGAACACAAGCAGTGAGAGGGCTGCCATGGGCCACGGGGACAAGGCCCAGCGGAGGGACAGCAGGGGCACTAAGGATGGCGAGAGGCCCAAAATTCTCATGGACAGCCCTGAAGATGCAGATATTTTTCACAGTGAAGACCTGAAAGTAGGTCATGCCTTTGCATCAGAGACATAACGTGATATGAACACAAGTTTAGAGGTTGCTAGCCCCATTAGTTTCTTTCTGGATTCACATTTTGGATAATTCTGTTGTTACTTTATTGGAAAAACGATGGTATGACTCTTTTCTCGTCCAGATGACCGAGCAAGGTCTTGAAAGTCATGTTTGGATGAGTTTAGTTAAAGTTTGACAATGTTGGTAGAAGACCAATTGATCTTTTTTTTTTGCTCGTTTTCCGCTGTCCAAAAAAAAAGAAGTTTGGCAAATAGTGAACGCTTTCTGCTGTTTATTGACACTGAAGTTGAAGTTTATTGCCAAACTAAACATCAAACAAAGTGCATTGCGTGTTGTGTGTTTAAAGCAACCATTCCTGTTTCCCTGTCTGGATTTCATAATTCCCCTTTGTCGCCAAGGTGCACACATCTAAGGATTCACACAATGAATTAATCATAGACGTACCTTTTTAAAATGTTCACATTCTGTGTAATTATGTGATGGATTTGTTTTTTTCATGAGGAAAGATAAAATTTGAGTGTTTTGAGTTGCATGTGTGACCATGGAAGACATTAAATTTGTAAGTCAAGGCAACGTTGTTCCATTGAAAAAGTAAAACCATTGCAATTTCCCCTTTTTATTATACTGAGTGAAATATGGGAAATTAAAAGTTATTATTTATGTATTTATTTACCGTATTGGCCCTAATATAACACGGTGTTTTTTGCATTGAAATAAGAAGAAAAAGTGGGGCTCATGTTGGTAGAAGACCAATTGATCTTTACCCATTCACGACGCTAGATGGCGCCAGATATCATTGAAGCGAATGCTGAACTTGACTCCCCAGGCCAAAGTGAACCCCTGTCACGAAGAATAAAAATAAAAATAGCGGTAGCACGAAGAAGAAAAATAAAAAATAGCGGTAAGAAAGAAAAGAGAAGAAAATAATAGAAGAGATAATAGAAAATGGAGAAACGTAGCAACAATCTGGAGAAAAGTGGGTCGAAGATCTGCCAGGTTAACCGGCAGCTGAGGAGAAGTTATGATGTCATTTACATTTCAAAAACTAGAAGCCATTCATTCACGAATGTGATTGCACTTTAGTTTCCATACATGTATTTAAATGTTCATATATTAACTTTGGAATGATGCAAAATAACATGCTTTTCTCTCAAATATATTGTTATAATCATTTGTTTCAGATGTACTGTAATTGTTTTCTGGATAAAAAATAATTTGGTGTTCAAAAAGTCTTTTTTCAAACATGAGTCTTGAAAAGAGGGCGTCGTCTTATAATCAGGGCTGTCATATATTCGGGCCAATACGGTATTTTGTATACTTGTTGAGATGGACCTTTTGTGTATTAGCTATTTGTAGCCATGAAATGCTGTTGTAGCTCGTGAGTAAGTCAATGTCACCCTGTGGCTTTATGCTCACTGCAGGCCCCCTTAGAGAAAGAAGAGTTCCTAGCATGGAGGCAAGATTTAGACGTGGAAGACAAAGACCCAACTTTAGACCGACCAACCGTCTTTCGCTGGAAAGGTGACGGCAAAGAGGTCTACCTGTCTGGATCCTTTAACAACTGGGCCAATAAGATTCCCCTGATTCGCAGGTGAGGAGTGGGGGAAGGTCTTTCGGAGTACGTGTTGAAGTTGCCAATGGTTGTATTGTCTACTATCATTTTTTTGTTGTTGTTGTCAAAGTCAAAACACTTTTGTGACCATTGTGGAGCTACCTGAAGGTGAACACCAGTACAAGTTTTACGTAGACGGGCAGTGGACTCACGACCCAGCTGAGGTGTGCAATGAAGAAGCAGTTTTACCGTAGTTTTTCATGCTCCTTTCTAAATTACTTTTTTTTTTCCCCCGACAGCCTGTTGTAACAAGTCAAATGGGTATTCTACTATCATTTTTTTGTTGTTGTTGTCAAAGTCAAAACACTTTTGTGACCATTGTGGAGCTACCTGAAGGCGAACACCAGTACAAGTTTTACGTAGACGGGCAGTGGACTCACGACCCAGCTGAGGTGTGCAATGAAGAAGCAGTTTTACCGTAGTTTTCATGCTCCTTTCTAAATTACTTTTTTTTTTTTCCCCGACAGCCTGTTGTAACAAGTCAAATGGGTACAGTCAATAACATCATCCAGGTGAAGAAAACCGACTTTGAGGTGTTTGACGCTCTCATGGTGGACTCGCAGAAGTGCTCAGACATGTCAGGTGAGTTTGAACAAACGGTAACCCGTATCAAGTCCGCGCTGGCCTTTTATGTACAGGGGATTTGAGTTTGTTTAGCCACTGCCGCTTCATTGAGCTCGAAGTGTTTGTTCGTCTTTATCGCCTGAGATGATCTTCAGGCTGCTCCAATCCAGACTTCTCCGATGATGTTTTTCTACCACTGAACCTGAACTCTCCCCTTCTCTGATTTTCCTCTTCACCTCCTCCTTCTCCTTAAAAATAGTCTTTCCTTCCAATCAGGATTTATCCAGGGCTTGTTATTTGTGAGGAACACAGACCCACGCAGGCGTCTCCAAGCAGTCCCAGACATCTTCTCGTTTCCAAAAATGCGAAGAATAAAGCAAGCCTGGATTATAGTGAAGCTTATAAAAAGTGGTGCCTTACCATCACTTGACAAAGAAAACAGTCAATATCTGGAGTGCTATTAAAAATGCAAAATGTTGACGCATTCCAAACAAAACTGTGATTCTTTTTTTTTTCTTTCACTGGACACACAAAACACCGACATGCTATTGCAATTTGTGAAAATTGACAACTCCCAGACATCTTCTCGTTTCCAAAAATGCGAAGAATAAAGCAAGCCTGGATTGTAGTGAAGCTTATGAAAAGTGGTGCCTTACCATCACTTGATAAACAAAACAATCGATATCTGGAGTGCTATTAAAAATGCAAAATGTTGACGCATTCCAAACAAAACTGTGATTTTTTTTTCTTTTACGCGACACACAAAACAACATACATTATAATTTGTGAAAATTGAAAAAAAAAAAGTTGTCGTGATCTGTTTTCTTATTCCACCCGTGCATTAGACCTCTCCAGCTCTCCCCCTGGGCCGTATCACCAGGATGCGTACGTTCCAAAACAAGAGGAAAAGTTCAAGTCTCCACCCATACTCCCACCTCATCTGCTCCAGGTCATCCTTAACAAAGACACTGGAATATCCGTAAGTAGTCACAGTGCAACTCCGTCAGATTAAATTAATCCATTTGGAAAGTGCTAATGCAGTGTCCAGTTTTGACCTAAGGACAGTGTACGAGTACTTAGCACTTACAGTCAGGAGCTCCATCTTGGAACATGTTCATGTGCAGTTTGCATGTGTTGGGTAGAAGAAGACTCCAAATTGCCCAAATGTGTAAATGTGCGTGTGAACTGTTGTTTGTTATGAATGTCATTATTACCATATTTTCTACACAATAAGGTGCATCGGATTATAAAGCGCACCTTCAGTGAATGGCGTATTTTAAAACTGTTTTCATATACTGTAGTCAGATTAAATTAATCCATTTGGAAAGTGCTAATGTAGTGTCCAATTTTGACCTCAAGGCAGTGTACGAGTACTTAGCACTTACAGTCAGGATCTCCTGGAACATGTTCGTGTGCAGTTTGCATGTGTTGGGTAGAAGAAGACTCCAAATTGCCCAAATGTGTAAATGTGCGTGTGAACTGTTGTTTGTTATGAATGTCATTATTACCATATTTTCTGCACAATGAGGTGCTTTGGATTATAAAGCGCACCTTCAGTGAATGGCCTATTTTAAAACTGTTTTCATATACTGTGTAGGGCTCACTGCATTATAAGCTGCAATAGTGGCTGTGGTTGTGCTGTGCATCCACTAGATGGAGCTACGCTAAAGGGAATACAGCTTTATTTGTATTGAGCCTTCACAACCGCTGCAGCTGTAATAAAGCCATGAGAACTGGTCCCAAACATGGACACGAAACAAATAAATACAAATGGCATGACAAAACAATAAATGAAAGGCAAACATGATGAAGACAATTGATTGGACAAAAAGGCACACAAACCTCGTGGGCTCGCATCCACAACGGGCAAAATATACTTTGAAGTCTTGCTTGTCTCCTTCTTCCTTCGTTTAGTCAATAGTCAACTATGCTTTTTGGTATTATCTTTGTTTCATAATGGCTGCGCAGAGCTCACAAAGTTGTCTGATTTGAGTGTGTGTTGGTGAATGAACATGTCAATTAGTCAGGCAGAACTTATAATTGGTTCCTGCTAATAATCACCACTAGATCACATAGGAACACGAACAGGGAAACAACACAATGAGGAATATAAAGAGACTGTGTAACACCATGCATAAGGTGCATCGGATTATAGAGCGCACCGTCGGCTTTTAGGAAAATTTAATGCTTTTAGGTGCGCCTTATAGTGCGGAAAATACGATATATTTTTTTGTATTGAAACTAAATTCCCAACCTAAACTTGCCATGGTGTATTTCCATGCACAGAACTGCTGAATCATTACTGGTTGTGCCCCATAGTAAGTCTCGTTAGATTAGTGCAGAGGGTTAAAAGGTTGGTAGAAAAAGAACATACCAATGCAATGAGTTACCATTGAAACTTTAGGAGTTTTATTTATTCCTTTTTTTGTGCCTAGTGTGATCCTGCACTCCTTCCAGAGCCAAACCATGTCATGCTCAACCACCTCTACGCTCTCTCCATTAAGGTACGGTCTACTTCCTGTGGTCTCCGGTGGGAAAGGGATGTATTGTTATTGTTTTTACCGGAAACCACGAGCATTGCCTTGATCTGTTGATCCGGGGGAATGCCAACCACGATAACAAAGCTGCAATCAGAAGAAGCTCAAGGAGAGGGAATGCTATATTCTCTCAGCATGACCGGAAAAATAAACTCGTGTTTAGTTGCCAAGATTGACACAGAGCACACATGGTGGGTTAAATACGGGAATAAGAAGTGGTGAAAGCGCACACTTGTGCCACGTTCGCACCTTCCCAGCTGAGTCACACTCCGTACTTTCCGTATCAGTGACAGCTGCTCAGACCGGCATTTTTTTCCACTTGGATCTGTCTGTACCAGTGTGTGTGTGTGTGTGTGTGTGTGTGTGTGTGTGTGTGTGTGTGTGTGTGTGTTTTACTTCAGAGCGACACAGGTGTTTGATTGCAGATAAACAACTGTGATCAAACAGTTTAGCAAGTGCTTGGTAAAACGCTGAATTATCGATGAAAACAATGACAAACATGTTCGGTGAATAAAACGGGCTCGACGTGCTGTCTGTCCTTCTGCCGTGAGGCTCTTTGATATTTTTTCATTGTTTTTCATTGTTCTAATCCATGTTTGCTTTCCGATCTTAAAAATAATGTCCACCTTCACAATCTGTGACATGTTGAAAATGTACCTGAACTTTTTTTTTTTAAGCGTGTGCTTAACGGCTGTCAAAAAAGTATGAATTAAACATGTGCACGATTGTCCCCAGTGTTGTTTCCAATCCTTAAGAATCCTCGATAATCTCATATTTAAATTGCATTTTTGTTTTTCCTTGACTAAGAAGTTAGAAAGGTTCAGAATAATCATGAATCGCCACTGACTTCTCCTGGGTAACATTTAATCCACAAAGCGAGACTAATTTCCGATCACAGCTACAGAATGGATGTCTTTTTTTTCTTTCTTTCTTTCACAGGATGGCGTGATGGTGCTTAGCGCAACTCATCGCTACAAAAAGAAGTACGTCACCACCTTACTTTACAAACCCATCTGACTGATCGCGCCAGTATTACCTGTGAAGTCAACTAGCAATACTCGTCCACCTATGGATGGATAAAACCTTTCACCTGTTTAATCTACTGTATGGTACACTGTAGACAAATGTTGAAATCTTTTGTTATCGCATTCATTTCACACTGTTGAGATAGGCGCCTTGTAGACAAGATGACTTGAGAAAAATAGTAGGAACAAAATAATTACATTTGCGATTCATGAAATGTTTTTTTTTTTGCAAGGACAGCGTTGTTTAGGAGTACCCGTGTACACAGGTTGTGAGATGGAGTCACTTGATTTTGCACAAACCTTTTCACCTTTAGGATGGATCATTTCTATTCACAGGCACATATTTTCTGTTGAAGACACGTCTCACGTCAACCCTGTCTGCTTTGTAAATACTCACATGGACACATTCTCAATACGTTTCAGCCAATGACAAAAAAACAAAACAACAACACTCACCACTTATGACAACAAACCTGCATTATTTTTTAATAGCCTGTAATCTTAACATTATTAAAAAAAATAGAAAGATGATATTGCAATATATCAACAAAGTCATCAACACCATTATTATGTGACATCAGATTTTCAATATCACAGTGTAGTTGACACTTAGGATGCATTCCAATTCACTTTTCCTGGTCGGGGGTTCGACATTTGTGACTTGCTAGTTTTATGGAATGGATCGAGAGATTTCGGAGGTCCCGAAGCATGTTCAACATGAGAGCAAAAATGTTTTCTTGAGCCCATTCATGCACCCTGCAACCTGATAACATAAGCTGCCCACTGTAGTAACCACTGTCCCTCAAAGGGTTGATCGTGAATCTTATGTTTACTCCACAAGAACAGGCAGAATGTGACGTACAAGTCAGTGAAGGGAACACAGTGCACTGTGGTAGCTTTCCACTGTTGTATTTCCTTTGATTCTTTAGCTTGTGCTCATCCAGCTCCCCCGCACACCCCTCTTCATTTTGAAGTGGATCATGTGTTTTTGTTTTTTTTGTTTTTTTTTTTTTTTATTTTATTTAAGTTGACGTTGTAATCAGTGACTTATTTTGAATAGCGCTGACATTTGTCTTGTTTTGCATGACAATGACCACGATGGAATGTAGAACGTTTGTACCGTGAGGTCATGAGAATTCAGTCGCGGTCTAAGGCCTACTAATTGGTGGAAAACAACAAAAAAAAATA